AGGTAAATGTGTCTCTTTCAACTGATTTAATTTAGACTTTTATTTTAAAAAGATCAGTAATATTATTTTTAGTATTAGTAATAGTGATGAAGGGCATATTACTGCTAAATATGAATCATATTTTGCGCAGCTTGTCAGTGAACAACGGCTCTGTGTAGTAAATGCTGCTCCATGTGAAAGCACACGCACGTGGAGATTTACCGCTGATTACAGAACTGGCTTTACTGACAAGATGCGCATTAAATATCGCATGCGATTTATCGTGCAGCCCTACTCCACACATACAAGACCATGGAAGAGACCAGTGCCACAGAAAACCCACTTTCTCGGTGGAAAAGGCATGAATCAAGCCTCCCCATTCTTTCAACAGTTGCCAAATATTACCTTTGCATTCCAGCATCAAGCTCAGTCTCTGAGAGAGTTTTCAGTACATCAGGCCTGATCTGTAGCCCACTAAGGTCCAGACTATCAAGTGACAGCGTTGACACATTAGTTTTCCTGTCCAAAAATCTGCAGCTAACAAAGGAGCTAGCAAAAAAATAAAGACTGAAAATATATGAAGATGTGAACCCATTTTATCAACTGTCTGCTCTGCCAATAGTTAGAAATGGCACTATAGTAAGCAGTGTTTAATAAACAGCTGTTTTTCTAAATTCTGCTGAGGTGAAATTCAGTGCAGTCATGTAGTAAGCAGTGTTTAATAAACAGCTGTTTTTCTAAATTCTGCTGAGGTGAAATTCAGTGCAGCCCTGTATCGTATCGTGGCCTCTGTATCGTGATACGTATCGTATCGTGACTTTGGTGGTGATACACAGCCCTACTGAATACCATGAACAAAAATCAACAGGTTCCATAAAAACTGGACTCTTTAAGAGCTGTTTGTGTGCAAAATAGAACTGCATGATTCTGGATAAATTGAGTTTTTTTTCCCCAATGGAAGTTGTGGTTCTCTCATGATTCTGAAGAAAAAAAACATTAGACAACTAAACAAAATCACATGTAATTTATGAATAAATGATTAATTGACTCACTCAAGATGTACTTGGTTTCATTACTGGATGAATCGGCATTCTTGAACGAATCTCTTGTATGATTCAAAGACAAATACATTTTAACAGCCCCTTTTCACCATCTACTGGTGTAACAATGTAATCGACAAATCTTCATTTGAAGTGTCAAATTACTTTCAAAAGGTGATTTACTCTATTTTAATCGCTACCGTACACATCAGAATTTATATCTGAACTATAAACTTTTATCCCAGTACTTCTGTGATTTGAATGTTTGTAACAGAAATAATGATACTGTGTGGTTGAAAAGACTGTGAAGCAGTTTCATTCATGACAGACAGCTGTTCTCTTTAGGTCAGTGGCAGTGCGAAGGCATATTTTAAATGTTCAAATCACACTGGTGTGATCGTACGCTGCACAGACAAACCATGTGATCATAACATTGATCACACACGTCAAAGGTTGAGGAATGAAACAGATGAATCATTGTAATTTAGGAATAGAATCACGTTGGTGTTTGAATAGTGTTCGCAATCTTTAACGATCTATTAAATTAAGGTGCTTTGTCATGTTGGTGGTGACACCTCTCTTGCAACATGTTTAGCTATCACAGATATTATACTTAGCTTTTTTGGCTTCTGATCGCAAATGTAACCAAACTTTGGAGAGCTTAGATTAGCGAGCAAGGTTCTGGCAGATCGCTAGGTCCGGTCCTCACAGATGAAGAAAAAAAGCTGAATCGAAATTTTTAATATGACAACAAGTATCTGGTACAACAAGATTCTGGAATCGGAATAGATTTTCGATTCCCAACCCTACTGGAACATGCTGCAACTTGTATTCTAAAGTGGCTTACATAACGCAATTAACGGCAAGCACACAAAACACACACAAAGTGAACACATTAGGATTCATGCCGAATGAGATGTTATTTCCCACACTCAGGCAGTTTCAGTTTCACTTTACATAATTTGTGTTTAAACTTGGTGTTCATAATAAATGTTGAATGATGAAAATGATTAATAATGCTTGTTTTATACTTACATTTTTCATTCCTGTACTGTTCTGAATACAGGTACATTTAAAGGATTTGTTGTGGAGTGAGGGGAACTAAAATTTTGATACTGTTTAGCTTTATTTAAACATTTACTTTTTTTACTGGTATTTTACAGAATTTCTGAATGTAATAAAAAAAAAAAAAAAAAAAGAGGCTTACACTGATGCGACTTCTCTCTAAACAGTGCAATTTTGACCCTGTGTGATTTGTTTTCTGGACACTATGTTAAGTGACAGAATTTCAAATATGGTAGACTATTAATGTGACAGATACAGATCTGTATATTAAGAGTACATGAGAATTCAGACTCACAGTTCATCTCGTTGCCTCTGTGACAGCACCATTTTGGCAGGAGAGTGGGGGCGCTGTCTCTGCCCCAAGTAGGGAGCTGGCAAACAGTCCCAAGCAGCTCCTCAGCAGGACGAATTGTTAGATGAGACACAATCTCACACTCTTGTGCAAACCGACGTCACTTTTGCAGCCTGGAGACTTTGTTCACAGCGACACACAAGACAAAATTGATGACCCACTGGAATTAACACCAATTTGATCCACTTGCCATCTAGGGAAAATGAGAGGGGAAAAAGAGATTAGAAAAAGAAACAAAAGCTCATACAAGATAAATGTGAAGCGGCAATAATTCTGACCTTGATCTGACTGAAGTCTAAAATGGCCTCAGCCATGATTTAACCAGACAAAAACCTTTACAAACACAATGAAATATTAATCTATTAGCTTTCTTACTCATTCTCCAACTTATATTAAATCAAACATTTCATTCTGACCATGTGCACTCACAAGAAACCATCACGGCCAACCCAAAGATCTACAGTAACATTTAGCCCCTCGACAACCAGACTGCAAGTGCTGGAGGTGGCGTGGCGTAAATCTCCTTTGCTAATCCTGAGGGAATGGTGGTCCAATAAAACAGTTGTCCAGACGAGAAGCGGGGTGTTGGGGACTGAGACAAGACTTTGTAATCCTTTCAGTCGGTTCTGACAGCCTGCAAATATCCACTCTAATCTGTGCGGTGCAAACTAAAATAGCTTGACACAGGTGAAAAATGCCTAATCTGGCCTTCAGAGAGCAGATGAGACATCCAGACATGTGGCTATGTTTTGGACTTGGGAAAGAACATCAAATATCATGTTTAGTGCAGTTCATTCCAAAAACATATTACAATCTTCACTTCAAAACTGTGTAGGAATGCCTTATGTTTCTGAACTAAATTTTTTTTGTCCATGCTCTACTGCCAATACATATCCATTTGACCTCAAGGTGAATATTCTTTATAAATCACAATGCACCTGAAGGTTTATTTACTTTGGCTGTTATTATTATTATTACTATTATTGCACAGATTAATCAATATTTATATAGTAATTGCTTTACATTAATCCTCAAGTCTTTATTTTTGGCTGAAGACTGAAAAAGGTTTTTTAAAGCGATAATTCACACAAAAATGAAAACTGTCACCATTTACTCATCCTCATGTAATTTCAAACCAGTTTGAGCTTCCATTTGCCTATTTGATGTTCTCTATGTGTGTGTGCATTGATCAATACTTTTGTGCATAAGGCCTAAATGAAATTTGTTCAACACAAAGAGACGGTCTCTTCAGATGACCTGGATTAAACCACTTGATTCAGATGGATTATGTAGTCATAGGATGTCTTTTTGAGAGAATAATAAAAATATCTTCATTTGTGGGTTAAAGATGAACAAAGGTCTCATGAGTCTGGAATGACACGAGTGATTACATTTTCAGAATTTAAATTTTTTTGGTGAACCATCTTTTGTGTAATTCACAATAGTTTGAAATGCACTCCTACCTAACAATTAAATAGGCCTATAACAATAATGTTTGGAATAACGTGTAAAAAGCTTTGATCACTTAGGGTTCTCAATGCACATTACCACAAAACTGAACTGTGGACATAAACTGAACCAACAGTTCATGTGGAACAATCAAAAACAGCAAACTGCTCTGAGGCCGCTGAAAAAACAAGCCACACATTCACGCAAACACATTAAGCCACATCAATATTTTGATTTTAATGTGATAAATCGTGCAGCTCTAATCAGTAATATTGGATTCATTTCTGTGAAGGTATTACTTGCCTTATAATAAACAACTAATTACTATACAGTTAAAGTTACAATTCATGTCCCAAGCAGGGGAAATAAGTCAGCTTAACTTCCCTGCATTACACAAAAAGCAAAGGTCAGTATACATATGTTTGTCAAAAGGACATACAAGCTGTTCTTACAATCCTTCTATGAAACTAACCAAACTCGACAGTAGCTAATTTCTAAAATACCAATCTCTCCTATGGAAAGCCCAAATATAAACAATCTTTTATTGCAATCTGAATATCAACTTAAACTTATAAAGACATATCTGTACACATTAGGGCTGTGTATCCCCAGCAAAGTCACGATACGATACGTATCACGATACAGAGGCCACGATAGGATACATATCACGATACGGGACTGCACTGAATTTCACCTCAGCAGAATTTAGTAAAACAGCTGTTTATTAAACACTTCATACTATAGGGACATTTCTAACTATTGGCAGAGCAGGCAGCTGACCTCTGCATTATGAAGGGCCTCCATAACTGTACCACAGTACAATATAGGTAATGGCAAATGTTTCATGTTTACATTGGGCACTCCCCACCAGGTATTGTTTGCATCTTGTTTTTAAGCCCATAAATAATAATGTACTCGTCCTAATAAATTTATATTGTAATGTACTCATTCTAATATATAAAATTATCACTTACATTGCTGGTAGGTTATCATTGCACAAATTAACACAATCTCTGATTAAAAAAAAAAAATGAGAAGAGTTCTAAACTAATGTGCTGTCTTCACTGTATCTAACGCACACACACGCTCAGTCACTCACACAGATCACGTTGCGTCCTCACTCAGACATTCAGCAACTAACTTTTTAGCGCAGTCCCGCAATTATATCAACTAAATAGCTTAATCGCTCAAGAGCTACATTATCTTTCTCAACAAGGAGCTGGTAACATCATTGTTTCTAAAGGAATTAAAGCCACAGCTTCACTGTTAATAGAGAAACGCCGGCAAAACGGTGGTAATTCATACATACACAGCCTCTCTCTCGCTCTCATAAATGAACACTTGATGAATTACACTTTTCTGAGAATAGAATATTAAAGTGGAGATCGCTAAACTGCAAGCTAACTGGTGTTTTCAGAAAGCAGGCGTGTTTATCCACAGTGGAGAGACTGCGCGTGCACACGGTTGCCAGGTTGACGAAGATAAGTAGCACAATTAGCAGATATTTCCGTATTGCGCAAGTGGGAAGCTCTGTTTCGGGGATTACGTCTCTTTATATCAGGCAACCCAGTTGTGTTCCTCTGCGGCCAGATTAAACCTGGTTATAGGCAGTGTTGGTGGTAACGCATTACAAGTAACGCAAGTTACGTAATCAGATTACTTTTTTCAAGTAACTAGT